AAAGTTTGACGAAGTTGGAGATGAAAATTTGGTTGTAAATATTCGTGAAGGAAATTTACATTATGAAAAACAAGTCCCTTCAAATAATGAAGTTGCAGAAACTTCGTCCACTCAACAAAATCTTCCTGAATATAGTGAAAATAGCTCAGAGGAGGAAGATAATGCTGGTGATGTTAGTGACATTAGTAAAGTTGACCTAACTACAACAGTGAAATAGCAAAAACAATCAGTAAAAATTGATCAACGTGCAATTCATCCAATATATAGCCATGCATATAAAATTAACATCGTATCTATTAATTTAGCCTCACCTTATACTATATTTCATCGATATCATCCTATGAATTATATTGAACAAAACATTATTAAATTTATAAATTTATGTAGAAGAAAAAATTCAAATTGGGTTGATATGAATATCAATAAGTACATGACCTGGTTAGGGTTTTGGGTGTTAATGTCTATAATTCCTATAAGCGATCATTGTTTTTATTAGAAAACTCAAGATACACATCCTTTATTACCATTTAATTTTTAGCATTGGATAAGTATTCTACAATTTGAACAAATAGTATCGCATCATACATTAATGATGCCAAATGAATTAGAAATATCTGATAGTAGTGATCTATTATTTTTAGTTTGTAGTTTTATTAATGCTTTTAATACAAACTTAGATGAGGCTGTAATTCCTGGAAGTATGTTATGCGTTGATAAGTCAATGAACTCATAGTTAGGCACTGAAAATAAAATTCCAGGCTATTGCAAAATTCCACGAAAACCACACCCTGTAGAACAAGAATGGAAAACTCTTGCTAATGGTTTAACAAATATTATTATTCAATTAGAACCTTGTAAAGACAAGGAAATTGAAAAAAATAAGTGATTTGTTTCTAATTACGGTAGTTCCACAGCATATATATTGCGATTAACACAACTATGGTTTAGTAGTGGTCATACAGTAATTGGTGATAGTTGGTTCGGTTCACTTAAACTTTGTATTGCATTAATGCAAAATAGATTGTATAGTATTTTTCATATAAAAAAAAAGCATGGATGGCCAATCAATTATCCACAAGATATGGTTGAAAAACTTGATAGTACTTACGGATCTTGTGTATCAAAAGTTACAACAATTGATGATGTACAATTAATAGCAGCTTCTTTACGGGATCAAAAACCTCAATATATAATTACAACAGCATCTACAATAGCAAAAGCTGATGAGATTGAACGTGTAGTTAAAAATAATACTGGCTCAACAACTATTAAATTTACAAGACCTAAAGTCTTTTATGAATACTCACAAGCTAAAGGGGCCATGAATATTAATAATCAAGTATGTTAATTTTTTATATTATATATTTTATATATAATATATTACTATTATATAAAATTTTTATATTATATATTAGGTGTGTGATAATATAACATCATTTCATGATGTTATGCGAGGATCAAGTTGGCAAATACGTATATTTTCTTTTTTATTAGGAATTGCAGAAGCTAATGCTTTTTTATATATAAAAAATGGCATAACAATGCATATAATATCTCTCATTTTGATTTTAGAAGAGAATTAGCTCATAAAATGTTTAATAGAAATTTTAGTATAATTGAAAATTCAGAGGTAAAAACATGTTCTAATACATCTCAAATACAACATAATTTGGAAACTTTTCAAAAAAAAAGAAAAGACATGGTAAAACCATTTATCCACAATTGTGTTGTAAATATTGTAGTACTAAAACAAGATACAAAAAGAATCAAGATCAAAAATTATATTAATAACTCAGCAGAATAATTAATGGGTATCTGTAAGTTCTTTGTACTAAATTTAGTACAAATTAAAAAAATTATTATACAATAGTATTACAATGAATTTTATTGATATTTTGCTAAAATATATATTAAATCTCATATTTTATTTATGCA